CGGGATTGTATCACCTCCAAACACTCTTGATTGATGCTGAGAGGTGCTTGGTTCAAAGGCAAGGTAATGTGAGCAGATTAGTTAATGCTTCTTGGCCTGGCCCTTGAGAGCAGGGCTGGAATGACGGGGCAGACAATGGGTTTTGAAGGCTTTTCTTGTTAAGATATGAATCAATGGAGCTGTACGAGGAGCAGGGATGATGTGATCAGAATAAGAATCACGGCTTGTCTTTGAACCAGAGCGAAGTCCCTGATGGTGTTTACTTCATGTCCTGGCACCAAATGTGAGATGATATGAATATATTAGCTTATTGGCTTTCCTAAGCAACCCCTGCCATGCTCAGACCAGCTTCAGGAAGGAAAAGAGCAGCAAAGAGAATCAGTTTGGAAATGTCAACTTGTTTGCCAATAACCCTGTCACTCTTGCTTACTCCTGAAGGCTCTGGCTGTGACAGGGGCTGTGCTCAGGGGGGAAGAGCTGGGCACTGGGGGGGACACCGGGGGCTGTTCAGGATCTGGGGAGATTTACCAGCTGGCTAATGCCTTGTTCATGAAGCCCTGTGGTGCTGGATCTGTCATCTGCTTCCTGAGTGTCTCTTGCTTCATCTCTCCCAGTTGCATCACAAGGTTTCAGTTTCTTCCAAATCCCAGTATGGAACTGGGAGTTTTTGCAACATTCCTAGTCCAGGAACAGGTTAATCTGGGTTGGAAGTGTTCTCCAGGGTTGTCTCACCCTGCCCTGCCCTGTTCTGACAGAGCCCTGGGCAGCACCAGCCCCTCTCCCAGGGCTCCTTTCTTCCTACTGCCCTGGATTTCCTAATCCTTGGGGATTTTTAGGTTGTGTGGGTTGGTGGGGATTTTTGGGGAAGGAAACCAGAAAAATTTCATAAGGTTTAAGGTCATGGGGAGGTTGTGCTGTCCCCATCACACCCTGCCTGCTGCTGCCCAGGGTCTCCAGCCCATTGTCCCTTCCCAGGCATCACCTCAGTGCTGCTGCTGTCCCAGTCCCCAGCACCCCACACCTTCCTGCTCCCACACATGGGCTGTGAACTGAGGCTGGAGTGGCCACAGGGTCCCACTGGGAGCTTGGGGGTCCCTCAGGGAGGTTTGCTCTGGTGGCACCTCAGTCTGCACAAAGCCACATTTGCTGCACTGGGAGCCCGGAGCAGAGGAGCTCTGTTCCCATGTAGGAAGGAGCATCTGGGCTGGTTTGGTTTCAGCAGATTCCCCACAGCTCCAGCAGCACCTCCCGCAGCCTGGATTCCATCAGTCAGGAATGTCTGCTCCTCACCACAGCCCAGGTGTCACAGAGCTGGGAGGGGACAGCAGCTCCCTCATTGTCACTCTGTGGCACATCTCCTGCCAGCCAAGCTGCAGACATGGAACTGGGGAAATCCCAGTTTCTCAGTACTTCATGTCTTTCTGAGCAAATTGGTGACCAAGCCTTCCAGCCATGGGGACAATGACTGCATGATTAAACTGGGATCACCCCACCTTGGGATGGAGATTCAGGCAGCAATCCCACCCCAGCTGGATCTGGGGGTGTCCTGCTGCCTGCAGCCCCTTTTGCCTCCATCCTGACCCTGCAGAGATGCTGAGGCCACAGGTACTGCCAGCACAGAGCTGGAGCAGCGGGATTGCACACAGATCTCCTGGGATGAGAGAAGCTGGGGGAAGGAAACCTGCAATAAGCACAGAGCATTTGTACAGGCTTTAGGCTAAATCCTTCTCTCCCTGGGTAGCAGCACTGCAAAGCTGTTTCCTGGAGTCTTGCTATTCCTTTTCAGGCTGGGACACTGCAGCTGGCAGCAGGGCTGGATTAGAAAGGGGAGAGAGAGGCCTGGCCTGCTGAGCTGGGTGAGCTGGGCTGGCAACCAGCAAAGGTCAGGGTGACAATCCAGCATCTCCAGGTCAGCAGCCCAGAATGGCTCTGGGAGGAGAATGAAGGAGGAGTTGGTGCCTTCAGCCTTATTGCACCCAGAATCCCAGGACTGCTCCTGCTCTGGCCAGATTGGTGTCTTGAGGGTCTGGAGAGGGATTCTCACTGCACCACTGGAATCCCAGCAGCACCAAGGCCTTGGGGCAGCTCCTGCAGCTCCTTCCCAAAGCACTCCCTGCTGGATCTCATGGGGTGTCTCCTGGGACCCCCCCAAGTAATGGTGTCTCTCAGAAGGCCCCAGGGAGCTGACGCTGCAAGGGGCACAAGAAGTGGCCTGGTATTCTCCAGGAAACAAATGACAAGGCCGTCCCCAAGCACCACGAAGGGTGGACTCAGACCCAAAGGTCTGGATTTGGGGTGTCTGCCTTCACCCCAGAGACAGTGGAGAAGTCAAAGGTGGGGATCTGCCATCATCCACATCCCACACGCTGTGGAGCTGAAGTCTTGGGATTTTTTGCCTTTACCTCCCACTCAAGGATTAGGAGCCAAGTACATTTCTCATTGCACCCAGCGCATGAGAGGAGGAGAGGCAACGTGGGAGGGCAGGGGAGGAGTGGGAGAAGCCATCAGCAGGTGGGTACAGACCCCTCAGGAACATGGCATGCCACAAGCAGAGGCTTGGAGGGCCTGGAAACCCATCCTCACCCTCTGCAGCTGCCATGGAGGATGGCTGGAACAAGCACTTCACCTCTTCCTGCTGTGCAGAAGCTCTGTGAGAAGCAGGCTGAGGCTCAGCAGGGACAGGGCACCACAGTGCCACCCCATCACGGGGACAGGCCCACAGCAAGGAGATGGGAAGCAGGAGGGCCATGATGCTTAGCTGGTGAGGGGAGATGAGGGTGTTGAATCAGGATCTGAGAGAGATGGATTGATTTCCTCAGCATGGATCATGCAGGCTGACCCCACCTCAGTGTCCGCAGCGGCCATGGGGACAGAGCTCTCTGTGCCCCTCCCTGGAGTGCCCTGTGTGGGCAGCAGGCTCAGCTGAGCTCCCCTGGGGCCAGCAGGCTGCAGTGGTGTCGGGGCAGCATCTCTCTCCTTGTGGAAGGAGTCGCCTCCTAACCCCAAGCCCTGGAGAGCAACAGTCATGAGAAACCATGGAAACCACGGCCGGCAGTGACAGCGTGCGCCGCACTCCTGCCCTTGATTTATGGCCCACCTCTGGGACCAGAGGCACAAATGCAGGGCTTCTGGCATGGGCTGGGGTTTGGAGGCAGTGGAGAATCACCACTCCTTCACTCCCCACCTCCTTGGTGGAGCAGGAGGGCAGGGCCGGGCTCTGGCCAGGGCCAGACGTGGTGAGCCCAGGGAGGGAGGCAGAAACCTGGAAAAGGCTGGGGGATTTCTCACTTACTTTTCTAATGCTTTCCAATATATTTAAATTGAGACTTCTGAGCCCAGACATTTTGACTCCTGGTGCCAGGGAGTGAGGAAAAGCTCCTGCTGCACCCAGGCACCACGTGCCAGGCTCTGAGCACAGGGTGGACTAAGACACCAGGTACAAAAGCTCAAAGATTTCTTTTCTTTAAACACACCGCAAGTGATAACCAAAACTTGACCCAGATTATCCCCCCAGTGTTCACATTGGTTAGTATTTGATTTTTTCATTTTTTGAAAGAGCATTTTTTCCCTTTGCACTGCGCTGCAATTTTGCTCAGGGTTTAAGCTGGGTCTCTCTGGGTTTAAGCCAGGTCTAAAGCAGCTCTTCCCCTGCACCTCAAGGGAAGGCGATAAGCTCAGCTGTGCCATCCCATGTCCAGAGGGATTTCTCTGCTGCCTGGTGACTACCTGGTGACATTATTTGAGCTGGGGCTCAGGGCTGTTCATCCCAGTGGCTAATGGGCAAAAGGCAAATGCAAACGTGGTGAAAATCTGATGATTCAGCAGCTGCTGGTGGAGCTATCGAACGATTCCTGACCTCTGGCAGGGTTGGGTTGGTCACACTGCTCTGTTGTCACCCTGTCAGCACTCCCAGCTGAGCTTTGCTCTCGAACCAAGGGGTTCAAGGCTGCGTGGAGCTCCCAGTCTGTCCCAGGACGTGTTCCCTGAGGGATCCACAGTGTGGGATCTGTGGGCAGCACGTTCTCCACCAGCTCCCATCAGCTCTGCAAGAGCAAATCTGCTGACACCACCAGTCTGGCGGCTGCTAATGGGGAGGTGGCCAAGGCTGGTTTGGAGGAGAAATACAGCAAAAGAGCCTCGACAGCTCTGCAATAACAAAGCTGCAGCTCCTCAAGGGGCTCAGCCACCCCCCAGGCTGCCAGAGCGGCACTCACAGCCTGTCTGTCCGTCTGTCTGCCCGTCTGTCCTGGCAGGGTGTGCAGGGCACACCCGCAGCTCCGCTCTCTGATCCCCCCGGAGCACTCGCGGTTATTACAAGTCCCTGGAGGATTCTCCTGCTCTCTGTGCTGATGGGCTGTGCTGTGGGTTTAACGTGCCGGATTGCCAGCGAGCTGGGAATGGCATCTGGGTAAAAAGCAGCCCCAAAATCACACCCACGGAGGCGGCGGGAAGCCTGGAGTGGAGGTGTTCCCTGCCAAGGCGCTGCCAGGAGCCACGCAATCCACAATAATGCCTTCATTTCACCAGTGCCTCAACTCTGCATCCCTTTCAGCTGGGTCGTGCCACGAGAAGGGAGAGCAAAATCTCAGCATTAAAAAAAGTCCCCGTGGGACAGACCATGATCTCTTTTGGGGGGCAGAGAGATCCCCTCTCGACCCAAATCTCTTCTCAGCCCAAGAATTGGAGGTGAGGGGTCTGTCCTTCCAAACATCACCTCCTGCAAAATCAGGGAGTGCAAAGAGCAGAGCCGGGGCACAGCCAGCACTTGGGCTAACTTTAACTCAGCACTCTGGATTCTGAATTTCCTCTGAGCTGTTTACAAAGGGCTGGGAAAAAAACTTCCAGCACTACCTCCCCCCCCCGCCAGCCCCGTCCTGATATTGCCCAGAACATCTCTCTCATCCCTCCCTTTCAGGGAGGAAAAAAAAAAAAAAAAGGAAAGGAGGGAGGAGTGGGAGAGAGGAGGAGAGAGGGAGAAAGTGAGCTCACGTTCACACATTGGTGAAGAGGCTGGTCTTGCAATGCCTTTGAATATTTTACTTTTAGGCAGTTCCTCATCAGTCAGCCACACACATCCGAGGCGAGCTGAAGCTAACTACAGCCATGGACAGCACTAGGAGATCTCACATCTAATCGCACGCATCATTCCTCCGGGATATTCTTGAAATTCCACATCCAAACACGCTGACAGCAGCTGCACTCACACACACACACACTCACACACACACTCACACACTCACACACACATCCACACGTCGCAGAGCCGCCGAGCAAACACCTTGTCTCTCCTCTCGCAGGATATACCCGCTCACACACATCTCTCTTTATCTCCTCCTGGCTTCCCGGAGGATCCTGCCGGCTGTTTTTCATGGAGAAAGTCCAGGGAGAAATGGAGATTGAGAGATGGGAAAGAAGTGAAGAAATTTCAGACGCAGAAAAAAAGGTTATTCAAGAGATATGGAGCAGAGTATATGCAAACTGCGAGGACGTTGGGGTCTCCATACTCATCAGGTATTTAAAAAAAAAAAACCAAAAAAAAAAGAAAAAAAAAAAAAGGGAAGCAGCAAATCCAACTGAATCTCTATATAGCTCAGAAAGAGGCAGAACAATATATAGAACTGAGTGGAGATGAATGACAGCGAGTGGGGAGCTGGCTGGGTGTATTTGCTGCCTGGGAGCAGGGAGGGATTCGCAGCGCTCCTCGATTCCCACACCTTTGAGCCGGGGGGAGCAGGGCAGCCTTGCCGGGGGCTTTGGGGGGATGCTCCGTGCTGAGGTCACCTTATCCCGGGGCCGGGGGGCGGCGGAGGCGGGGGCAGCTCAGTCCCGCTGCGGGCGGGTCGGGGCTCCGCGGTTCTTGGCTCCCCCCGGTCCGGAGCAGGCTGGCGGGTGAAATAATGCGAGTTGGGAGCCAAGGTAAAAGCCAAGCAGGTGTGTCTCCCAGGGCACCATCTGTCCCTCCGGCGGCAGCGTCGGCGGGAAGGAGAGCAGTGAAGTTGGGAAGGGAGGCGGGGGGCACGGGCGGGAGAGGGGCAGGGGGGGACAGCAGCCCCCGAGGGGGGTGCGGAGCGTCTCCCGAGGGCAGCGGGGCACAGAGAGCAGCTCAGAGCTCTGCACCTGCAGCCAGAGCAGGGGAGATGCTCTGGAGGTGGGGGTTCTTGTGTTGTCTGGGAGTAAAACCATACCCAGGTACACCGGGAAAGAGCCAAGTGGGAATCCCACAGGCACTGGGAGTTTGGGGTATCAGTGGCGTATGGCACCAACTGTTTCCCTTATTGAGGATGGCAAGGAGAGGGGCAGGTGAGATGCCTGCAATGGCCAAATGGCAATCAGCAAAGATCCTGTCCAGAGCCACACTGCTCATCCCTGGGGTCAGGAATGCTGGGATGTCCCTGGTCAGACCCCACCTGGACCAAAACCAGGCACCCCAGGAATGGGTTGGGTCTTCCCCCTTTTCTCCTGCACCAGGGTACTGTGGGTGTGCAGGGAACCCCTTGGAAGGATGTGCTGTTCATTAATAATAATCTGAAAGTTTTCCAGTTGACTGAGCTAAAGCTCTGAGCCCACAGGGTCTGCAGGGAGCAGAGACTCCCTGGACATCACAATGAGCAGAGCCAGTTCCCCTCCAGGCTCATGCCAGCACTGCAATGGAATTTTCTTACCAAGACCCCTCTGCAGATTCCAAAATGACACTGGAGCCCCCTCTCCACCTCCTGCACAAACATTTCCTTCTCTCAGAGCCAGCTGATGGCTGAGCCCATTCTCCCGTGGCCCCCAGTCTGTGTAGGCAGTCAGGGCAGTCAGGAGGGGTGACAGCTCCATGGCTGGGACACCAAACCTATCTAGGCTGGCTCTGAAGCAGAAATTGCAGCAATCTGGGGGTTATAAGATTCCTCTCAGCCCCATCTCACCAGGTTCAGCTCATGGCTTGGCCACCAGCCATGCATGGCCAGCCCCTTGCCCAGCAGCTGGGTCATGCCACGGCCCCATCTGCCAGCCCTTCCAGGTGCCCACTGCCCACTGACACAGGGAGAGTGGCTCTGTGCCCGTGGCTGGCACCCAGGGACTCATGGCAATGCCATGGGGGATTCACCCAGGGCAGCTCATTGCTTTTGGAGTCCTCATGGTGCTTGTTGGGGCAGGGCTGGGCGTGAGGAGAATCGAGGTGTGGCAGTGGGGACGGGGTGGCCGAGGTCTGGTCTCAAGTCAAACTTTCCCAGCAGAAGTTTTTGGTGCAGTTTGGGGTTTTTTTAATGCAGGCAGAGTTGTGCACTGTGGTGAAGGCTTTCTCCTGCTGTGACAACAGGGCAGGACAGAATTGCCTGCTAGGGTGAACCCTGGCTCTTTGGGAGCCTTTCCATCCTTAGTCATGGCACGTGCCCTGCACATCCCAGCTAAACCCACCACCTGCTTCCTCAGCCAGAGCTTCCCTGGGATGCTTAAAGTGAGGTCTGGCCTTGTGCATAGTGATGCCATTTGGGAGAGGAACCATCCCCTCCAGCAGCGCCGGCTGGAGCCGCAGATCCGCACGGCACAGCGGGTTTGTGTCCCCACGGTGACAATCCCTGTCCCCAGAGAGCTTTTGGCACCGCTGCTCTGAGCCCCCTGTGAGCTCTGGGCTGCACCTGAGCTCCCTGGGGAAGAAGCACGTGGAGGCCGAAAGCAGGGCAGCCCTCACCAGGGCTGGGAGAGCAGGGCTGGGAGAGCAGGGATGGGAAAACAGGGATGGGAAAGCAGGGATGGGAGAGCAGGGATGGGAAAACAGGGGAGCCCTGGACGGGGATGGGAGAGCAGGGATGGGGAAGCAGGGATGGGGAAGCAGGGCAGCCCTGGCCGGGGATGGGAGCACGGGGATGGGAGAGCAGAGCAGCCCTGGCCGGGGCACGGAAAGCAGGGATGGGAGAGCAGGGATGGGAAAGCAGAGCAGCCCTGGCCGGGGATGGGAGCACGGGGATGGGAAAGCACGGATGGAAAAACCCTGGCCGGGATGGGAGAGCAGGGCTGGGAAAGCAGGGCTGGGAGTGCAGAATAGCCCTGGTCGGGGATGGGAGCTCAGGGATGGGGGAGCAGGACAGCCCTGGCAGGGGCACGGAAAGCAGGACAGCCCTGGCCGGGTAGGGGAACAGAGGGATGGGAGCTCAGGGCAGCCCTGGCCGGGCCCGGGAGCCCGCGCTGCCGCTGCCCCAGCTGCGCTCACAGCTGGCAGAGCCGCGGTGGAAGTGGGTCACGCGTGGGGGCCGCCGGGAGCCCGGGCCGTGATTCAGCAGCTCCAGAGGTCGGGGCTGGGGAGGGGTCGGTGCGAGGTGACCCGCCCAGAACATTTTGGGTGGGTACAACAGGGGCTGGAAGCTGCCCCAGCAGCCTCTGCCTCACCAGAGCCAGCCTGGTGCTCCTGCTCACCTCGCGAGGGAAACTGAGGCAGAAAGGGGTTGGCACAGGTGTGGCCAGGGAGAAGGAAGGGGATGCGTGGCTGTGGAGCCCTTTCAGTGCAGCCCCCATGGGCAGAGTGGTGAGAGCAGGCAAATCTGTCAGCACTTGTGGCTGGGGTTGTGACCAGGGACCTGGCTGTGCCTGGGGGCCGAGGGTCTGCTCCTGCTTACCTGCTCCATCCCCTCTCCATCCCTTCAGGGCAGGGAATTGCGTTTTCCCCTGTGGGAAGGGCTGGGGGGTTGCAGCACTCCTGAACTGAATCGGGGGCCTGATCCTGTGCTCTGAGGATGGAGGCACGGGGGCAATGCCCACCCAAGGCAGTGATGGGGGATCTGCAGCGCTGCCATCCTGCAGGAACCCAGCCCAGCTCCCTCTGTCCCCAGCCAGCATCCCACCCCTCCACCCCCAGCCTTTCCATGCTTTGCAGGTGGGGAAACTGAGGCACAGAGCTGGGCATCATGTTCCCATCCCTCGTGGCTGCTGCTGGTGCTTGAACCCACAGCAAACCCCGGGGCCCTGCCCTAGCACGACGAGTCCCTGATCCCACAGAGCTCTGGGAGCCCGGGGGACACAAACAGGGATAATGGGGTCTGTGGCTGAGCAGCCACCGGATCCTGGGAATCTGCGCTCTGTGCTTCAAACGCTGTCGCTAATTGACAATTTCCTCGGTGGGGAGCCTCGCCCCGGAGGAAGCAGAGGCTCCTCGCCACGCTCATCTTCCTCCTCCCCGGGAGCTCTGGGGCCTCTGCAGGCTCCATCTCACAGCGGCCTTAACCCTTGCTGGGGCTGGGGCTGGAGGTGGAGCTGGGCTGGAGCTGGAGCTGGGCTGGGGATGCTCACCTGGGGCTGGGACTGGAGCTGGAATTGGGGCTGGAGCTGGGCTGGGGCTGGGGATGGAGCTGGAGCTGGGCTGGGGACGCTCACCTGGGGCTGGGACTGGAGCTGGAATTGGGGCTGGAGCTGGGCTGGGGCTGGGGCTGGAGCTGGAGCTGGAGATGGGGATGGGGATGCTCACCTGGGGCTGGGGCTGAGATGGAGCTGGGGCTGGGGCTGGAGCTGGGGCTGGGATTGGGAATAGAGCTGGGGCTGGGGCTGGGATTGGGGATGGAGCTGGGGCTGGAGCTGGAGCTGAAAATGCTCACCTGGAGCTGGGGCTGGGACTGGAGATGGGGCTGGGGCTGGAGATGGAGCTGGGGCTGGGGCTGGGGCTGGAGATGGAGCTGGGGCTGGGGCTGGAGCTGGAGCTGGAGCTGGGGCTGGGGCTGGAGCTGGAGATGGAGCTGGGGCTGGGGCTGGAGCTGGAGCTGGAGATGGAGATGGGGCTGGGGATGGAGCTGGGGCTGGAGCTGGAGATGGGGCTGGGGCTGGAGATGGAGCTGGGGCTGGGGCTGGAGCTGGAGCTGGAGATGGAGATGGGGCTGGGGATGGAGCTGGGGCTGGAGATGGGGCTGGGGATGGCGATGGAGCTGGGGCTGGAGCTGGAGCTGGAGCTGGGGATGGCGATGGCGATGGAGCTGGGATGGAGCTGGAGCTGGAGCTGGGGATGCTCACCTGCAGCAGGAGCTGGAGCTGGAACTGGGGCTGGAGCCAGGAGCAGGAGCAGGAGCAGGAGCTGCTCACCTGGGGCTCTGCCTCCTTCTGAGTGGTTCCCAAGTGGACTGGCTGGCAGCCCTGGGCTGAAGCTCCCCCGTAGCCTCCCCATGCCCCTGGGGTCGTTGCTGTGCCTCAGTTTCCCCATCTGTTATGCAGTGATGAGTCCTTTTTGACCCCTCCCTCAGCACAGCGCTCCCACGGCAGCCTTCAGAGCCCGCTGTGCAGTGCAGGAGCCCTCAGCCTGTGGTTGTCCCTCCCCAGGGTCCCCCTTTTCTCCTTCCAATAGTTTATTGCCAATACTGTGACACAGGGCTGGACAATGCCAACACCCAGGGGTGGCTCAGCCCTCCACAGCACACAGGGGCTGAGAGCAGCCTGGGGTGAGCCTCAGAGGGGGTTTGGGACCCTCTGTGCTTTGCAGAGCCCAGCTAATCCCAGCAGCCAGGGCTGAGAGCTCAGCCTGCTCCCACACCCACACACACGTACCA